TCTTGAAAGCAGAATCTTGAAATCTTCTCAAAAGAGAAGCAGCTTGTCACATACAGGAGCTCATCAGTAAGTTTTGCAGCTTTCTCATAAGAAACTTTGGAGTCCAGAAGGCAGTGGGCTAATATATCCAAAGTGTCAAACAGGAGGAAAAAAAAAAAGTCAACCAAGCAAAACTGTCCTTCAAAAGTGAGGCAGAAATGAAGATATTCTAAGATAAACACAAGTCTGTTACCACTAGACTTGCCCTGAAAGAAATGTTCGAGGGCATCTGATAGGGTGAAATCAAAGGACACTGGACAGTAGCTCACAGCCAAATGGAGAAGTATCTCAATAAAGCTAAATACGTGGGCAATTATGAAAGCTAGTATTATGGTAACAGTGGTTTGTAACTTCACTTTTTGATTTCTGTATGATTTAAGAGGCTAATACATTGTTAAAAAAACAATTACTAGTCTACTTACATCACTGTAACTTCGGTTTGTAAGTCCACATTTTGTTTTCTATATAATTTAAGAGACTAATGAATTTAAAAAAATACTTAGTTTTATGTTTTTGGGCACACAGTACATAAAGGTGTGATTTTATGACAACTGAAACAGAGGTAGATATAGAGCTACAAAGGAGCAGAATTTTTCTGTGTTGAAGTTAAATTGGAGTAAGTTCATATTAGGATGCGAAATGTAATCCCCATGGAAACCACAAACAAAGTTGCTATAGAATATGCACAAAAGGAATGAGAAAGGAATTTAAACTTTTTGTTCAAAAAAATCGGCTAGGGGTGCCTGGGTAGCTCAGTTGGTTAAGCATCTGACTCTTGGTTTAGGCTCAGGTCATGATCTCGGGGTTTGTGAGTTCAAGCCCCGCATTGAGCTCTGCGCTGATGGTGCAGAGCCTGCTTGGGATTCTGACTCTCCCTCTCTCTCTACCCCTCCCCTGCTCACTCGCTCTCTCTCCCTCTCCCTCTCTCAAAATAAATAAACACGAAAATTTTTTTAAAAATCAGCTAAATACAGAAGAATTCAGTCATGCAGGAAATGAAGGACAAAAAGCCCTAAGGCATTTAGAAAACAAATAGCAAAATGACAAAAGTAAGTCCTCCCCCCACCAACCAGCAGTATACTAGTTTAAACCTAAATGGATTTAACTTTCCACTCAAAAGACAGATTGGCAGAAGGGATTAAAAAAACAAAACACATGATCCAATTGTATGCTCTCTATAGGAGACTCACTTTAGATCCAAAGGCACAAATGGATTGAAAAAGCTGCAGGGCACCTGGATGGCTCGGTCAGTTAAGGGTCCAACTTTGGCTCAAGTCATGATCTCACAGTTTGTGAGTTCGAGTCCCACATCAGGCTCTGTGTTAACAACTCAGAACCTGGAGCCTGCTTGGATTTTGTGTCTCCCTGTCTCTCTCTCTCTCCCCCTCTCCCCGGCTCATGTTCTGTCTCTCTCTGTCTTTCAAAAATAAATAAATGTTAAAAAAGTTTTTTAATTTTTTAAAAAGTGAAAGGATGGAAAAAGATATCCTATGCAAATAAAAGTAACCAACAGAGAGCAGAGATGGCTGTACTAACATCAGACAAAACCAACTTTAAAACCAAAAAGTTTACAAGAGACAAAAAGGTTCAATACAGCAAAAAAAAATGCAGCAGTTATAAACATTTATGTATCTAATGACAGGCCATCAAAGTATATGGAGCAAAAATTGATTAAATTGAAAGGAGAAATAAATAGTTCTACATTAATAGTTGGAGACTATAGTACCCTCCTCTCAATAATGGATAGAATAAGCAGACAGAAGAAAAGTAAGGGACTAGAGGACCTAAGCACCACAAGAAACCAAATAGATCTAATAGACATACACAAAGCACCCTAACTAACAACAGAGTACACATTCTTCTCAAGTGTACATGGGACATTTTCCACAATACACCATATGTTAGCCACTAGTTAAATCTCAGATTTAAAAAGATATCATACATGGGGCGCCTGGGTGGCTCAGTCGGTTAAGTGTCCGACTTCGGCTTAGGTCATGATCTCACGGCTCGTGGGCTCGAGTACCGTGTCAGGCTCTGTGCTGACAGCTAGCTCAGAGCCTGGAGCCTGCTTCAGATTCTGTGTCTCCCTCTCTCTCTGACCCTCCCCTGCTCACACTGTGTCTCTCTCTCAGAAATAATTAAAAACATTAAAAAATAAAATAAAATAAAATAAAGATAACATGAAAAGTATCTTCTCTGAGCACAGTGGGATGAAGTTAGAAGTCAACGACATAACTGGAAAATTTAACAAATTTGTGGAAATTAAACAACACTCAACTAGTGGATCAAAGAAGAAATCACAAGTGAAATTAGAAAATTGCTAGAAATGAAAATGAAAACATAACATACCAAAACTTATGAGATGCAGTGCTAAGGAGAACCTTATAACTACAAACACTTATATTTTAAAAACAAGAGGGATCTCGAGTCAAAACCCAACTTCTAACAATTTAAGGAACTAGAAAAATTATGGACTAAACTGAAAGCTAGCAGAAGAAAGGAAATAACAATTAGAGCAAAGGTAAATGAAATAAAGAATAGAAAAATAATAGTGAAACCAAAAGTTGGTTGTTTAAAAAGGTCAACAAAATTACCAAAACTTTAGCTAGAGGGACTAAGAAGAAGGAGAAAAGACTCAAATTATTAAAATCAGAAAATGAAATTACATTAGTACTGGTTCTACAGAAATAAAAAGGATTGTGAAAGAGTATCGTGAACAATTACATGCCAACAAACTAGATAACCAGATGAAATTGACAGATTTGTAGACACACAAAACCTACCAAGACTAAATCACACAGAAATAGGAAATTGGAGTAGACCTATAGTAAGAAGATTGAATCAGTCACTAACAGTGTACCAACAGAGTAAAGCTCTGGACCTGCTGGCTTTACTGGTGAATTCTGCCAGACACTTATTAAAGAAAAACGGATACCAGTCCTTCTTCCTATGTGACTTGAAGGTCACTTTATGAGCAGCCTTCCCAGAAAACACCCAGACAGCAGCATGGCCCTTCTGAAGAAACAGTTTAAGGCCTTCAGGGCAGTCAGCATCACTGCTTATGGCCCCACATGTGTCTCTAAGTCCTCTTGATCCCTGAGCTTGGGCATCCGGCCCTGCAAAGATAGATTAAAATCCAAGAAGTGGTGAAATTCCTAGTGCTCCCTCTCTGCTGCATGCAGGCCCCACTTTCCACCCTCCATCATCACCCTCCTCAGGAAGAGCTGAAGCAGCAGGCTTAGAGCAGGGACTAGGGTATGTGCATCATCATAGGTTATGGAGATGACTGAATCCTAGTCATTCCCATGTAAGAACCACCTGCCGCAGGTCTCCTTTCATCCTCACAACCTCCGGGGAAAGTAGGTGATTTTTCTTCCCATCTTATAGGTGAGGAGACAGACCCAGAGATATGAACCGCTCTGCCCCAGACAGAGCCAGGACTTGAATTCAGGCCTGTTGGACTCTCAAGTCAGCTCTCCATCTACCACTTGCTCCTGTTTGCTCAATGCTACACACACATAGGAGATGTTCAGGAAATCTTTAGTAAATGAATGTTGAAGAAACAGCCTGGAAAGCAGCGAAAGGTGGCATGTTTTTCAACAGTAACCCCACCTCGGAGGAGTAATGAGTTGACAGAGCCACTAGAGGTCAGAATTTATCAAGTCTTGGTTAGCTCAGGGGCACTGCTTGTGACATTATCTGACCCATAGAGCTAGAAAGGACCTCAGAGGTGCCCTCACCTCCTTCTTAGTTCCCCTCCCTGTTGGTGAGAAAACAGGCTTAGAGATGCTATGAGCTGCCCAAGGCCATAGAGCTGCGCCAACTCCCAAGCCATGCTTTGCCCAACACTATCTTTAATCACCTTCCTGGAGCCTAAAGCATTTGAAAACAGCATTCAGCGACCGTGTGGAGCAGCTGTGTGCCAGATGCTGGGGACACAACAGAGAGAGGCCAAGCCTGGCCCTGCGTGGGGCATCAAGTGAATCTGGGGAAGGTTTGTTTTCAGTAATGAGGTTTGACTTGGACCCAGAATTACAAAAGCATTTTACATCATGACCCCACTACATTATGTATACACACATACGAACACACATATAATTATATATATACATATGTATGTATATATATGTATGCATATACTATATGTATATAGTATAAAGTTTCACAAAATAATACATATACTATAGTGTAATGCAGTTTGTAATTTCCTATACCCATCTCTCTTAGTCACAACCCATGAAGTTAATTTCATGACCCTCTAATGGTCACAACTTCACTGTGCATTCCACTACTCTAAATCATTGGTTTCAAATAGGAAAGAGGCTCCTAACCTTGAACTTTTCTCATAGTGTACAAAATGGTCTTGGATTTGGGGCGGGGTGAAGGGTAAGGGGTTACTAGAACACAAGCATCATAGACAGGACTGCTTGGAAGCTTAGGCAGAGAAGAAAGAGAACAGACCACAGCGTTCTTCTCTGTTGTGTTGGATTGGTCAGGGTGAGTATCGCTCACCTGTGACCTCCAGCAGGCAAGGAAAGGATATGGAGGCTGCTGCAAACCAGCTCTGCTGTCTGTTTCTAGAGCGCTCCCACCTGGCAAGCTAGGGGGTCAGCATGTCATTGCACTAGAGAAAAAAGATGAGCAAACGCTAAAAACCCATTAGGTTCTGGATAATAAATAATTGATTAGGAACCCTTGAGCGTCAAAGACCTGAGTTCCTGAGCAGTGTGTCCACGTCACTGTCGTGGAGTGAGGGGCCCAAGAACAGGGTTTTTGTTTTGTTTTTGCTGATAATCTAAACTAACGCGTCTTCAACTCTAAGGTGCGTGCAGGTCTTGTTAAAATGCACATTCTGACTAAGGGGCCACGGAGAAGGACTTCTACTCAGAGGGGGAGCACGGAGAAGTGGGAGGAGGGTCTGACAGGTGTGCCGAGCTTAGCCCACTGCCTTTTTCCTGCAGACATAGAGAAGGGCTGCCACTTCCAGCACATCTTGGCCTGTGCTCGCCTGAGCGTCCGGCCGGGCCTGAGTGAAGCTGTGCTGCAGCAGGTGCTGGAGCTCTTGGAGGACCAGAGTGACATCATCAGCACCATGGAGCACTACTACACAGCGTTCTGAGGGGCTGCCAGCAGATGGCAGAGGCAGAGTTGGGCCAGGAAGAGGAAGACCGGCGGCCGTCACTCCCAGGCTCTGATTTTAAACGTCACACAGAGGCTTATAGGTCTGGTGGCAATTATCTATAAGAAACTATGAAATACGGTCATTTAAGGAATGCATTTTGGCATAAATTCCATAGGCTGCCCTCTAGCTGCTGTCCTTGGGATCAAGTCACTTTTATCTCGGCCATGACGTAGAAGGAAACCCTTCCGGTTGATCTCCTGACTGGACCGGGCATTGCCCTTGGAGCAGAAGGGGAGGAAACAGTGTTGGCGGCTTAAATCGGGTGCATGTGGCTCGAGGCCCTATCAGGGTAAAGGGATGTCACGTGGTATAGTGAACTGAAGAGCCTGTAGCCAGAGCACACAGATCTAAAACCATTTTGAACTTCAGACCATCAGCTACATTCCTGTAGGCCTCTCTCAGTGGTTAAGAAGCTAATGTAGGGGACTCATTCTTAGATGAGTGTCGCTCACCTGTGATTTCCAAGGTTAAGTACCAGTGGGTCCTGAGTCCTGGGATGAATGCTGTTTACAGACCCACCCAGAGATGGGAATAAATGGATCAAAGACATGGCTGTGTGTTGGTTGTTTTCCTTATTTTCCTTCTGAATCAAAAGATGTCTCAGTATACTTCCTTATATACAAGTCACACACTTGAGGACATGTGTGACTAAGTACATTGTCCTTTAATACCCTGAAGTCCTTAGCAGCTCTCAGCCAGTTGCCTGGCTGGTAGATATTACTCTCAGGGTTACGATTAAATGCACAGGGCATCCGGACACCGTCCAGACTCACTCTCTGTATGTGCCCAGACAGGTGGTAGAGTTGTGCTTTGCTAGGAATGGCAAGATAAAGGGAAAAAAATCTGAGGTATGTAGTAGACTTGTTCTAACAGCTAAATTACAAATCGACAAACACAGCCAGCAAAAAATGAAGTGTCAGGAAAGATTTGGAGTTAATTACAGTCATTTCAAAGAGGCACATCTGCCTTTGTCTGCTGCCTTTGCTCTTGACGTAATAAGTGCTTAGTGGCTGTGCTGGAGAGCCCGCAGGCCTCGAGAGTTGTTCTGCTCTATATGGAGATGCAGTGGTTTTTATACTCAGAAGTTGACAGCAGTTTCATATGTCAGGCCGAAGGCTAGTACCAACAGACTGCTTCCTGTCGTGGACTTTGTGACTTGACCCTATTTCTAACAGCCATTTGCCCAGATGGCTGCCCTGTGTCCTCCGTACATTCAGAAGCCTCCCATAGAATGGGGTCTGCCTGGAATAACATCCCAGCAGTTCTTTCTGATAGCAGCGAGTGTTCCGTATTGAATACGTCTCGGATTATCCGCTCGTCCCAGGGAGGAGTCTCGAACCAGCAACCCCACTTCCAGGATTTATCCCCAAGGAGATGGTCACACAGGTGTGAAAGGAGCACAAGATTCCCATTGCTGTGTAATTCAGAGTTCTACAATTGGGAAAAATATTTATCCATAGGAAAAAGTTAATTATGACACATGTACCCAGTGAAACACTATGAAGCCATTAAATGCTGGAGTAGACTGATCCTATTGCTGTGGAGCACTCTTCCCAAGAAAACTGTTATAGATCTGTTTATGGAGTATATTACAATTGATCTGTATGTGTATATATGTATAGAGAGCGTTTCTGTGTGTACATCTGCATAAATGTAGCACCTGTATGCACATGCATATAGTTGATCACTCCCCACTCCTAGAAATACTTTCTGCACTTGGCTTTCAGGACACCATATTCTGGGTGCCTTTTCTCAACCTCCTTTTCATGGTCTTCCATCCCTGTGGGGGCTCAGCATTAAGTCTCAGAGCTCATTCCTGTGCAGCTTGCTCCCTTGAAGATTTAAAACAGTCGTGTGGCTCAGAACATCCTAATGCTGACAGGCTCTCTAATTTATATCCAGTTAGGACCTCTTCTGAACTCCAGACCCCTGCATTCAGCTTCCTGCTGATGTCCCCACTGAGGTGGCTAACAGCTGCCACAAACTCATGCCCAAAGCCAGGTGCCTAATCACCCCTCACTGAAGACTTGCTCCTTCTGAAGTTTTGCCTGATTCAAGAAAAGGCAGCCCCATCTTTCCAGTTGCTCAGGCCAAACCCATGGACTTTTTCTCTCTCTCTCACATTCCACGTCCAACCTGCCATCCAGTTACCTTGGCTCTACCTTCAAGATATTTCTAGAGTCTAACTGCTCCTCGCGGCTCCCTGCCACTATTAGGAGTATTGCAGCCACCTCCTGACTCGACTCCCCACTTCTGCCCTGGACCCTCTTTGGTTCACTTTCCACCCAGCAGACAGAGCCATCCGTTAAAACTGAAGCCAGATTCTGTCCTCCTCTGCTCCAGCCCTCCTGCAACTCTCTCGGTCTCACTCCAGGTAGGACCTCAGGGCATCCCAGGATCGACCAGGTGCGGCTCTGCCTGGCCTCCTCTCTGTAAATCCCTCCCACTACCCCTGCATCTCCCCCCTGCTCAGTTTCATAGGCCTCACTGTTCCTCACACACCAGGAACATTCCTGCCTTAGGGCCTTTGTTCTTGTTTCTTCTGCCTGGAATGTTCTGCACCCAGGTAACCATGTGGTGGCCTTCCCCCCTCCTCCCCTTTGGGTCTTTGTTTGGGTGTCGCTTTCTCGCTGGGGCCTTCCCTGATCCCTAATCGCAAACAACCCCTTCTCCCTCCTTCCCAGGACTCTTCAGTACTTCTTCTCCATAGTACTTGTCACTGTGTAAAAAGTGCCATATGTTTCTTACTTGCTCTGTCTATGATCTGTCTCCCTAACAGCAGGAATGCTCCACGATGGCAGGACTTTTTCTCTGTTTTGTTTCCTATCCTGCCCTCTGCACCTAGAGCAGTGCCTGGCACTCCCACTTCTGTGTATGTGTCTGGCTGCCTTCCACCCGCAGATATCTTCCTTTCTCTCCTGGGGCGGGAGCAGGGGGTATGCTTTCTCTAATGTCTTGGGAGGCTGTTCAGGCTGGAAGGGTCCAGCTCCCTTGCTCTTCAAATGAGATCTCTGAGGCACGTGTTCTACACCATTTTCTAGAGTTTCTCTGTGGGGTTAATCTCCATCCACCCACAGTAGCGGCTAACTTGATAGCCACCCTTAATTGCCTGCCTTACCCTCCCTGTCTTCACACACACACACGCGTGCATGCACACACACACACACACACACACAGGCACGCACGCCAGCCATTACTACTTGCTGTGCCTTCCAAGTGAATGGCTTCCTCTCCAGTGCTTGTCTCACGGTCAGCTTCTCATTGAACACAAATGAACATCATGTTCTCAAGTATATTTGAGAAATGCTGTATGAATAAAGTATGTATCTGTATGTATCAAGCAGAGATTACTGGAAAAACCAAAGCGACCCACTTGTTAACCTCCAAAAAGGTGAGAGCAGATGCTTTTTAACCACATATCTACATTTGATATTTTTACAATTAGCAAGTGTCATTTCTACAAAAATAATAAAGCTGTTTCTCACTCCCTACCCCCCACACACCTGAATCACTAATGAACCCAGAGTCAGATAGACCTTCTATCCCGCAGCAACATTAGAACTCTGAGAGGGTGAGGGAAACTCTTGGAAAGTTTCTGGGAGTAACTACAGTTGAGTCACTGCTCCTGCACTGAAGAGACACCAGAAGGTTTGCCTGAAGAAGAGGGAAACTGAGCAAGCATCCTGGCTCTCGCAGTGTGCACAATCCAGGAGGCATGAACACTGCACATAGTTTATATAAGCAAGAAGACAAACAGTGCTACTGTCTGGTCAAGGGTTTGTTTGAAGCTCTGTGATTCTCTCCATCTGGTAAGCTACTAGTGCTTCTCATCCTTAAAAGACACTTCTTTCTAATTATTTTCCCCTCTGATAGTGTGCCAGGACACTGGCCGAGAGAAAGCCAAGTGGAAAGAAGTCTATTCAGTGATGGTGAACCTGAGACTGTGTGCCAACGATTGAAGCCAAGCAAAGTTTTAGTTTTCCACTGGAGAAAGCATCCACACTTTCTTATTTGTATGGTTTCTTCTCTGCAAGTGGCCTTGACAACAGTTCCCCCAAAGAAGCATCTCATTGTTTCCTTACTAGATTAATGTGAGGCATATGGGCAGACTCAGAAAGACTGAGATGAGGCCAGCAGTGGGCTCTGGGAGGGAGTGTGACCATCCCAAAGGGAAATGGTGCCCATGGATGAAGAGATTTGTAGTCAAATTCTTATTTGCATGACAGTCTACTCTAAAGGCAAATCCAAACTCCCACAGAAGTGAGTTTTTGTACAGTACAGAATTTATTTTTAAATACAGGCCTATTTTTATTGAACTTTTATTAAGTAAACCCAAACAGGTACACAGCACACAAAGCTGTGTCCACAAGAATTCTAAATCAGACCCCAAGTGCCTGAAGAGACCGAAGTCTTTCCCTGTACGTCAAATTAAAGTGATAGGTTTTCATCTTGGAAAATGAAGAGGGGAATGTTGAAGACCACATCACAGTTTTTTTTAGATAGTAAAGTGGTGTGTCATTAATTCACACTGCTTTGGTGAAGTTTATGTAAATTAGTGAGAAATCTGGAAATAGTGCTATTTCATTACTTTGTACAGCGTTCTGAATGACATCTAAATTACTATGAGGGAATAGGTTGGCTGTTCTTATAAAACCTGATTTAATGAATAAATCACTTTAATCATGTATCATTTAATTATTATGTGTCATGTATTGGTTAATACTATTAGATGATTTTAAAGTACTTGAACTTAAGAGATTTGAATACATTTCCACATAAAAATTTCTATGTCAGCGTTGACAAAACTGTCATTCTAATAACCAAAAAGTGAAAAACAACCCAAATGTCCATCACTTGATGAACGGATAAACAAATGTATATGTACATGATGGAGTATTAAGGAATGCAGTACTGATACATACTACATGGATGAACCTTGAAAATAGTATGCTAAGTGAAAGACACCAGATACAAGAAATCACATATTGTATGATTCCAGTTACATGGAGTGTCTAGATAGGCAAATCCATAGAGAAGAAAATAAATAGTGGTGGCTAGAGCATGGGGAAAGGAGAGGATTGGATAGGACAGGATTTCCTTTTGGGGTGATAAAAGTGTTCTTGAATTAAGAGTGGTGATATTTGCACAATTCTGTGAATATACTCCAAACCACTGAACTGTGGGTTGGGTTGGGATTCCTCACAACATGGTGACTGAATTCCAAGAGAGCCCAACCCTCACAGAAGCTGTATGGTCATTCTAGAAGCCACACAGTGTCACTTCCATAGTGTTCTTAATGTCAAAGCTGTAAAAGTCCTACCCAGGTTCCAGAGGAACCAGATGGGGAGTAACAAGATTCTAGAAGGGCATGTAGAACCAGGACTATTGCCCTGGCCATTTTTGGAAAGCACAATCTCTCACAGACATGTTTCCAAGCTTTTATATGTATACAGCCTCATTCTTAAAAAGCAATTTATGTCAATAAGTAGAAAGAATGGGGGGAAATGATCTACCACTTCCCAGGTACTCTGTATTTTCTTTTTGAGATT